ATATATATATATATATATATATTTATATTTCAAATGGATTATAATTTTTGTGGAGGAGAGAATTCGAACCTCAATTTTAAAGTTAAAAGTGTATTTTATTATGAGTTATATAATCATCAAACTAATTATTTGTAACTAATATTGTACAAAATTTTATACAAAATTTAAAGTTAAAAGTGTATTTTATTATGAGTTATATAATCATCAAACTAATTATTTGTAATTAATATTGTACAAAATTTTATACAAAATTTAAATAAAATAAAGTATAAAATATAAAATGTAGAAATATAATATAATATTTATATCCAAAATTAATTTTAAAAAATATGAATTTAATATACAAATTTATATAAAATTAATCAAAAATATCTTAATTAATAAATTTTAACTTATGTCTTATGAGTACAAATTAGCCAAACTCTTTTTTTTTTTTAGTTGCTTGTTGCTAATTTAACTCCCACCTAGTCCTTAAAAAAATACCATGATTCCCAAATATTTTCCATATTAAAAAAAGAAGAAGCTAAAACTGTAGTAATACTAAAACGACCCAAATTAAAAATCTCATCATGTGAAGAACAGAAATAGCCATCATGTTTGAAGGTTGACTTGATGAAGCTAGCAGATGGGAAAGTTTCTCAACCATAAAATTGACATTTCATCTAACCAAACTAACTAATATGTTCTAGATAAAATTTCTAACGCAGGTTGTTTAAATCTATTTTAATATTATAATGGTGTAAGTCTAAGATATTTTTATACAAGTAATTTTTAATCAAATATTAAAAAAATTAAGGAGTTATTTGAAATTTTTAAATATTGTATTAGTTGTTAAAATTTTAAAATAAATAATTGAACATTGCTGTAATATTTACATTAGTACAAATTAATCCAAACTTATTACATAAGATACGAAGTTTTAAAGTTATATTAATGTTATATTAGATTTAGTTGTTTAGAAACATTAATTGATATAACTAATAATTAATATATAATAGTTAATAATTGTTGTTGCCTATAGTTTTTACACCCTTATTGATCCAATTGGAGAGCGACAACTAATAATATAGTTGTTCCAAATGGTTAAACAAAAAGGAATCTAAGTTTTTTTGTCGGTAAAATTATTAAATGCACATAAATAAGGTTTGCATGAGAGTTTCAATTCCTAATTGTGATGGTTGAAAATTGAGTGAAAATCCACTAAAAGAAATTGGGTTTGTCTAACTCATATTCTAAGGGTACAAATTAAGATATAATAAATCTAATTTTTATATTTAATTTATATAAAAAATAATAAAAATCAA